CGACAAGGCGGGGGTGCTGAAGGGTAAGTTAAGTTGTCCTTTTGCGTCGTGGAGGCGCACTTACGGGTTCGATTAGGTGCGGTTTAGAAAAAATTTGATCCTTTAAAACTTCATAGGGGATCGGTTAGAGACGTTCTAACCCTTCTAGTGCCACTGGGGCGTGAAATACCGAAATACTCACTCCATGTCAAAATATAAGACATTTTCTAACACTAAAACATGATATATTTCGATATGGAGGGAGCGTGTGCAAAGCATCTTGAAAATGAACGACGAGTTGAGGACAGACCTATGCGCACGGACTGTACTATCGTATTAGAGCGATGGAATCTGCGGTTCTCTTAAAAGGTCTCGTTCGTACCATTTTAATCTACTGTTACTTTGGTTCGCCTCATCGGGTGGACACCGGAGAGTCCACAACCACTCCACCTGCTGGCATGATTAAGATACCGCTGAGCAGAATATCTAAACAGTCAGTCTCAGCGTACAGACAATGAAACAAGGGGAACAAATAAACAGCGCGACGGAACCTTTGTGAGCAGGCAAAGGATGCACGGGCAGATAACGCTGACAGCGACATACTAGCTCGCTGGCCCCGTTGATTCCAGCGAATTAATAAAACGGGGTTGATTGCAACAAGGAGGACACGGACAAAACATCACGGGCAAGACAAAGAGAGGCGTCAAATGGGAGTATGATGTTTTTTTTTTACCCCAATAGCCAGTGAACGTTGCTGGGAGGGATGACATTTACGAACAATTTTGATGGCAATTTTAGTTAGTGAGCATGACAATTCTGCTACAGTTCAGCTGTTTTATTAGAAAACTGCCGTGCTTGCAAACGAAAATCGTCGGCCTTGCTCATCCTCGCCACAACTAAAGTTGCTTCAAAACATTCGCAGATTATAGTTACCAGTTTCTTCTGAGGGTTAGTTTAGGGAGCTTTATTCAGGCATCACAGCCCAACTAAGGAGCAGGAGCAAGTCAGTCGTGTACGCATAATGAAACCATATATCCACAGGACACAAACAAGAGGAACATCGGTCCCATCCCACGATTCCGTTCACAAGCGTTCACACCCGTTCACACTGCCTATTTTTCTAACATTCATTCAGCAGATATAGTAGTACTACTGTCCGTAGCTATGTGGCGACAGACCGTGACGGCGTGACGCGACGAGCCAATCACACCGGATAAGTAATTTGGACTAGTACTACTCCCTCCGTCATAATTTAAAAGGCACAGTTAAATTTACGTGCGTTTTTACAATAGACAAGATTTAGGATGTATTACATTTATTTCTAGTAGCTAATTAGTACTCCGATGTACTATTTCTATATGTATGGGTAGCGTGAATGCTATTTTTTAACCCATCTCATAATCAATAGATATCCGCCTAGGTCCGAGAGAATTTCGAAGCACGCCTTCTAAACCGTGACGGAGGGAGTACCAGTAATGCCCTGTACCTAGCCAGCGACGCATCAGTTCGGACGGACTCGAGTAGTGTTCAGACTGGCCTCCGTCGCTTGTACGGTAGCCACACACACACACACACCGTGACGGCGTGCCACGATCATGCCTGGGTTTCTTCTAGCGAGGATGCCCTCCGCTCCTGCACCACCCTGGCGAAGAGGCTGCCGTCGTAGACGCCCCTGGCGGCGTCCTTGCGGAGGAGCCCGTCCTCGTCCTTGCCGATGCTGTACAGCAGCTTCCACTCCGCCGACGCGCCCGCCCTGCATACGTTGTTTTGCTTGCCGCGTCAGGAGGTCTGAAAATTACGTGCAGGATGGATAACATAACAGGAGAGGCCGTAGACCGCGCGTACCATCCCGCGTAGTCGCCGGGCTGCCGGTTCGCGGCGATCAGCTCGTCCACCTCCGCGGACGTCAGGGCGTCCGGCACCGTCTTGCCGTGCTTGGCGAACGCCGCATCGAACTTGTCCGGAACGAACCTGCAATGGTTAATTACGCATCAGTAGCGAATCACCATGCGCAAGTTGGAGCAGACGAAGTGGTTGGCGTGTGCTTTTACTACCTTCCTTGGGAGTCATACGCGCCTGAGTCGCTCCCGTGGATGCCCTTGTGGATGTTCTCGATGTAGATGGACATGCGCGCCGTGTCATTTTCCTGCACGAATTTCACAGCCCTTTATACAATAGTAACTTGCTTGCTCTTTGGACAAAGAACGAAGGTGTGCTAAGACCTGCTCAGTTTCTTTGATTTGAAACATCATAGTGATCACAGAGTACCGCACTACTAGCTAGTCATGCCCACGACTTAATAAAAAAAGAAGTAATGCCCACATCTGACGCTTGTGCTGTCAAAATCTGAAACCAGGCATCCCTCTAAATTATACCGCACTACTACATTTCATGATTTTGACACTCATCACTTGTCAGACCCGGGATCGCGTATCTATGCACTCGCAGGAAAATACTACTGAGAATTGAATTTCTATCAAGACTTGAAGAAAGCACAGTAAAAGGTGCTAAATGTTCCACAGAACAAAACTTTGTGGCTCAGGTAGCTAGCCTAACATACCAGAGCACTGAATAATCAGCTCGAAACCGCAGACAAAATGAAGCGTTCTAATCTAGCGTTGCCTTCTCTTCTCAGGGAAGCAAGGGAATGTTGCAGCCACAAGCTAACAGTAACCAGGATCCTTAAACTTAACACAGAAGAAAACTCCGACATAAGAATTCTCTGTCGAAGGATTACCGGTCTGGTCTGGGGGCCAAGGACGCCATTGATGAAGGTGGCACTCAAGGTGGACGAAGCAAATCCAAATCCGAGGGCCCGAAACGCTGGTATGCAAGGAGGGTAATTGCACGTGAGACAGAATCAACAAACAACAACCGGAGAACCACTGGGAGAAATCTCTCTGAAAGACTGAAACAGAACGCAGGTAACAAAAGCAGAAAGCGAATGGGGAAAAAATTCGCTCACCTGCGTACGTCTCGGAGAAGGTGACGACGCCGTCCTTGTCGCGGTCGAAGAAGGCCGCGTGCTTCTGCAGCGCCGTCATGCCGCCGGCGCCCGAATCGTCGCCGTACCCCGACGCCTGGCCCCCTGTCCGGCCGGAATCAAGAAGAGGAAGGACGACGGATATCAGCAAAGCGCGCAAGCCGCGACGAAATGGACAGCAGAGCAGAGCAGAGCCAGCCTTATTCATTACCTAGGAACATGGGGAACAGGAGCAGCAGGGACAAGGCCGCCGCCGCCGTCGCCGTCGCCGCCGCCGGGGAGGACGACGCCCGTCGCGGTCTTGCGTCCATCTCGAGGGATTTCTTCCGCCTCGCTCGCTCGCTCTTTGACTGCTATCCCCTCTCTTCTCTGTGTATTTGCCGCGGCTCGCGTGGTGTGCACAGGTGTCTCGGCGTCCGCCGTCCGTATATGTAGGGTCGCGGTTTTGCGCCGTGTGAGTGGTTGGGCAGTTTCGCGATCGCACGTTTCCGCAAGAGGAGACGCGCACTCCTCAGATACGTGTCCTAGGCTCGGACCGTGCCTCCTGCCCGGAAAACATTTTTCTTGATCCAAATTATTCTGCCATGTCTCATCGTTTATTACTAGCACAAGTTAATTTAAATTGTTTGTTTAATTTGTTCTGTACGCGTGATGATGCAGAGGCCAGGGCAATCCCTTTTTAACCAGAAACGACTAACATTATAATCATTTATTTCAACATGGCAATGGGTACCCGAAACCAGCGAACCCGGCGGGTAAAAACCCTATTAGGGTAAGGGTTTAGGACAAATAAATACCCATGTTTTTATAAATGGGAAAAAATTATACCCATCGGGTAAACTGGGTATGGATATGGGAATGCAATATCCATACCCGCGGACCCACATACCCATATATTAATTTCTTCTAACAGCAGCCTTCATGTGTTCACTAAAGGAACCTAGCCATTGTATCCTAGGCTAACGCAACCGCTAGCGTCGATCCAAAATCCTCTCCCCTGCCGCATGTGCATGATCTTGTTTAAACGTGTTGATCTTGTTTTGTGAACTAACGGTTTTGTTAATCTTATTACATAGTCTCCTTCGGTTGACTATTTTGAATTAGGGGATGCAGAAGTACCTTCAATAAAAGAAAATTGTGTCTGTCTTGTTTGTCTTGTAACTGAAAAATAATAATAGGCGTGAATGCTTCTTAAAAGTTCATGTACAGGCTACTCACCCATGTATATAATTGGACATTGTTTAATGCCATCTATTTCGTGCTTATTGCTATCCATTTCTGAAAATCAATATCATTCTTTTTATTTCATGGCGCAACAAATCATCATCTATATGTGCTCAAATGCTAAAATGTGGTATATATGTACTAAAATGTTGAAGAATGCATGCTAAAATGTTGGGTATATATATGTAAATGTTGAAAAATACATGAAGTGTGAATTGGGTAAGGTCATCGAGATGGGTATTTTTTACCCGCGGGTATTACCTGCACCCGACCGGGTACAGGTACGGGAAAAATTTGAAACCCGAGGTGCGGATTTGGGTACGGGTATGGACAAAAAATAATGAGACATGTACGGGTTTGGGCGACCATTACCTGCACCCGAACCCGGCGGTGCCATGTTGACGTTTATTAGAGCATTAATATGATGTAAAGTGCTTAGGAAGATGCTTCGAGAACTAAACCAGGTTTTTAGGTACACGGCGCAGAACTACTATGAATACTTATTTGTATAGCAGATGTGTCTAGTTAAGCACATGGATTATACCAATAGACACTATTGTAAGTAAAAAATGCTACTCCCTCCTCTCCTGTTTACAGGGCTCAAATATGAAATCTCATCAATCAAGTCGGATGCTAGTGAAGGAATATACTCAAATTAAACTAATACATTAATTTGAATTAATTGCAGTGCATGCATGCTTGGCCACTACTAGATGAGTAGGAACATTACATGCATTTGTGAGTTTCTTTCTAATTCTTGCATGCAAAGATTTAATGCGCCTTGAAATCTCAATAAAAGATGAAGATAAGTCAAACCGCCAAAAATATATGAAGATAAACCTTTTAAATCGGAAAAAATTGAGATAAGCCATCTAAACCAGAAAGAAGGGAGCGTTCTCCAAATACTCTCCTTTGTACATGGCACCCCATTTTCTTCAATGGAATGGAATTTTAATCTCTAACCGTAAGAATTGTTGACAAGACCATGGTTCACGCCTCTGCACCGTCATACCCACCCTCAGAGAAGTTGCCGTCAGAGCCACCACCACTAAAGTCTCTTCACTGCACCCCTTGGATACAACCACCATCAAAATTGATGGCTTGCTAAACACCTCCGCCATAACCGCCGACCTGCGCACCAACACCACTAGCACCAAGATCGTCGCAACGACGCTACCTCGACATTGACACCTGAGATTGCTTCCTTGTTTAGGTTCTTCGACACGGGTCAAGGGATACAACTGGCACCTGTTGGGTTGTATGTCTCTAGTTATAACCTAGAAACCATCGTAAACTAGCCCTGGTAGACGCCACCTGCAATCTGGCCCCATGATGGGTCGTTGCCCTTGGACCCTGATGATGGGTCGAGCACGATAGTCCCATCTATGTACAAAATTGGTCTAGGCAGTTTGAAATTCAAACTGCTCACATGTCGACTCACCATTATTATAGCCATTATAGAGTAGTTGGTGGAGGGAAGGTATGTCGTGTTGCTGCTACCACCGGAGACCCTCTCCACCTATAGCAAAATCGTGGTCCAGGTGGCACTGTCTAGGAAGCCCCGATGTCGTAGTTTTCATGCGATAGTGTCGTCGGTGGACGACTATTTGTTTGGTAGGGGCGAACGGCGGCCGATTGATTGGTTAGAGAGAGCACACATATGGTTTACCTAGGTTCGTGCCCTCGGGGGAGGAGGTAAGACCATACTCATGCATGTAGTATTGAGGTGGTCATTGGGGATCTAGAGGATCACCGACGAGTTCTGCCCTAGCAATTACAACCCACCTTGCCTAGCGGCAGGGATCTGTCTTAGGTTTTTCTCTCTCCGCCCTCAGGGGATCCCTGGTTCCACCTTATATATGGTTGGTCCTCGGGTCACATACACTTTCAACCCTTCGGAGCTCTGCCCTGATAATCTGGGCAGTGGCGGACTCATGGCCTTTTCCTCATATCATTAATTCCGGGGAGATCGGGGGTTACCCCGACTCCCATCTAGAGCCCAATTCGGAGCACACTCGCATCTCCCTTGGGAACTGAGTCTCGATCTAGGATGCCCGAGGCCCCTCCCTTTCTTGGGGGGGGGGGGGGTTAGTTTGCCACCATGATGGTGCATCGTGCTCGCCCTTCGCTAGTGTGTGTTCGGCCGACTTAGGGTCATGGTGGTCAGTCTTTGATCCAGATGGCAATGGGTACCCGCTACCCGCGAACCCGGCGGGTAAAAACCCTATTAGGGTAAGGGTTTGGGAAAGAAAATTACCCATGGGTTTATAAATGGGAAAAAAACTATACCCATCGGGTAAGCCGGGTACGGGTATGGGACGGCAATACCCATACCCGCATACCCGCGTACCCGTATACTTATTCATTATGCCAGGTAGGCCCTTAATGTCAGTCACTAAAAACATCAAAACCCTAACTGAACCCAGCCGAGGTGGCAGCCAGCGGCCCAGCGCCCAGGCCCAGCAGCCCACTCCCCGTCGATCCCACCCAAATCCCTCTCCGAGACCCCAACCCACCTCACTCCAGAAACCCCACCTCTGTCTCTCGCCATAAACCCTAGAGGGGAGAAGCCACAGGTCACCGCCGCCGGCCGCCGCCGCTGCCTGCAGCGACGCGACCGGCCACCTCCCTCCTCTCATCCTCTCCTCCTCTCCTCCCTCTACCCCCTCTCCTCGACGCGACCTCCACACGAGACCTGCAGAACCTCCTGCCGCCATCTCCCTCCACGTCCTGGCACCTCCTGCCGCCATGGCGCCCGACCAGGAGGACACCGAGGAGGGGCTTCACTCCAGCGCGGATGCAACTCCGGTGGACGGGGATGGATTTGAAGAAGGCACCGGCAGTGGGTCTCGTGCGCCGACGCCTTCTCCTACCTCCAAGCCTGTGCATCTTCAGCCACCATCAACGGGGCAGGTTCCTGGGCGCAGCTTCACTGCTCCCGGTTGCAAGGTGGGGCGTGGCCGTGGTCGTGGCCGTGGTGGTGCTACACCTGCGATGGTGGCGAGAAGGGCAGCAAAGCATCCAAATCGGTGAAGAGTTTCACCTTTTTTAATGTGTTGATTAGATCTGTTGTTGAATGATTGAATGTGTTCATTAGATTTAGCCAATTTGTTAATGCATGCTTGAGTATGTTGAATAGTTAATTGATCTGTTGTTGAATGTGCTCATTACATTAATGTGTTAATGAATTGGAAAAGAAAGGAATATTTTTGAATGCTTGCTGTTAATGCTTGCCATCTAGTGAATAGAAACAAGAAGAAAGAAGGAAGTTGTTAATGATCTGCCTCCAAGTGAATACAAGAAGAAAGAATATTAATGAATGCTTGCTGTTAATGCATGCCATCTAGTGAATACAAACAAGAAGAAATAAGAAAGTTGTTAATGATCTGCCATGTAGTGAATGCTTGCTGTTATACACTTCTGATTTTTTAAATTAACTAATGTGTATCATACTTGTTGTGCAGTGATACAAACACTGGCCAAGTAGATGTGTCCATGCATGACACGAGTCACACAACAACACCAATGGATGAAGATGGAGATCATGTTATTGTTTCAGATGATGAAGAAGAGGATGATGTGGAAGAGGTAGAGGTGCTACCTTCTAAGCGCAAGCTCACATCTAAGGTTTGGTTGGAAATGAAGAAGATGAGGATCAATGGTGAATGGAAGGCCAAGTGTAATTGGTGTCACAAGGTACTTACCGCGGGATCGAGGAATGGAACTAAGCATCTTCGTTTGCATCTTAATATTTGCACTCTTAAGAAGTTGAATACCAAGGGAGGTAAAACTTTGAGTCAATCCTCATTGAAGGTGAGTGCCGAAGAGGATGGGAAAGTGAGCATGGAGAGCTATACTTTTGATCAAGATTATGCTAGAGTTGAGCTTGGCAACATGTTGGTGTTGCATGATTATCCCTTGTCTATGGTAGACCATGTTGGTTTTAGGAGATTTGTTGCTGCCCTTCAGCCGTTATTCAAGCCT